GGCGGGCCCATGGGCACCGAGACCATCCCTTGAAATCTGGAGGTGCTCGTACTGAGGCGGGCGCGGGGGAAGGCAGGCAGCTGTGAGAAAGAAGGCCCTAAGGTGGGGGCGCCCCGGGATGAAGAGACCCCTGGGGAGGGGACGTGAGTGGCAGACCTCAAGGCGGGGGAGCGGTGCTGCGGGAGTGGCTGCCTTTTCCTGCTCAGGACTGCGGTTAGGACGACGAATGCGGGGCTCTTTTCCTCCTGCGCAAGGCTTTTCTTTTCACTCCCAGTTGTTCATTCCTGGCTTTGATAACTGGCTTCACTATAACCTTAGGGTTTCCTAACGTCTCTTTCTTCTCTATGACTCTCTCGCCACTTGCCACTCTCTAGCTTGCGAGTGAGGCACCCAAAGCCCATTCAGGATGTAGAGTACGTTTTCTTCGCCTTAACTTGAAATTTAATTAATTAAAGGATAGAGCAATCTTTTCTTTTTCTTAAATATATTTGCATTAATTTCAGGGAGGAAGGGAGAGGGAGAGAGAGAAACATCAATGATGACAGAGAATCATTGACCGGCTGCCTCCTGCACGCTCCCCACGGGGGATCCCGCCCACAACCTGGGCATGTGCCCTTGACCGGAATGGAACCTGGGACCCTTCAGTCCTCAGGTCGAAGCTCTATCCACCGAGCCAAACCGGCCAGGGCACAATCTTTTCTTTTTAGACTCTTAGAGTGTCAGTTGTCAGTGCATACACTTTCCAGGGAGAACAAGGAACATGAAAATCAGCCTCCAACCCCCAGCAGCTGCTCTCGGATGCCCTCTCCTGGAGGTGGGTGGAGGCTGTAGTCCCCTCCGTTATTAGCTTGTCCTGCTGCCACAGGATGGCACTCAGGCGGGTCACCGGGTCATCGTTTTCTGCAAGGCAGGCATTCTAGGAAGTCATCATATTCTCTCCCGCACTCTCTCTGTGCGGATGCCACGGATTGCATGTGCACATTCTATCCGTTCTTTCTCAAAAGCATGGCCCCGAACTGGAGTCTCGGAGGCTGCTGAGCACTTTGGACCGCCGCCGGTACCGGATGATATGCTGGCGACGCGAAGACCTGCCACAGCATTAACTTGAAATGTTAAATACACAACAGAAGCCAAACACAGTCTGGTCCAGCTTTTAAATAGAAATGTTAAGCCAGCTTTCATGTCAGCAGAGCTGTCTCTTAAACGCTATTGAGGAGAGTCATGAAACATTTGAGAGAGCATCTGTTGAGGTGGAGGCTGTGATGTGTCTTGGCTGAATATCTGTGCAAACAGTTTTTGGGTTCAAGACCCAGTACAGGGCGACCCTTTTTCTTCAGTGTCTGGACCATTTTGCTGGAATAAATAGCAACGAATCCCCACAACAGCAGTTGTCATTTTGGAGGGCATGGCTCCCCTCCCCCAGGTCGATTGTCTAAAGAGCTAACAAATGGCTCTCCAAAACCTGTTGTTTTCCAGAAACATCGCCTGTCCTTCATGTTGAATGGAAATTCATGCTCACTGTGGGATGAACTGGATGGTGACAACAGGCGTTCACTTTGAGGACTCGCCTAAAATAATTATAGCGATTTCTGAGCAACTTGTCACATGGAGACATCAACTGTACAGAAGAGCTGCAAAGAGCGCAGCAAGAGGATTTAGGGAAATAGAACATATGTAGTTTGGTGTAGTGACAGCTGGGAGAGAGAAATGCTCATAATATTTGAAGGTTGTGTGCAGTACACTTACAGAAACTGAAAAGAGCCTGTAATAAATGCGTGAAGTGAGGATAAAGATCTTGTTTGAATATGATATTGATGGTTATATAAAACTTTTAAATGTCTTTAAAAAACATGTTATTTATTTTTTTAAAAATATTTTTATTGATTTCAGAGAGGAAGGGAGAGGAGAAAAAGTGATAGAAACATCAATGATGAGAGTGAATCATGATGGCTGCCTCCTGCACATACCCTACTGGGGTTGAGCCCACAATCCTGGGCATGTGCCCTTGACCGGAATCGAACCCAGGACCCTTCAGTCCACAGGCTGACACTCTATCCACTGAGCCAAACCAGGTAGGGCAAAACCCTGTGGTAATTAAAATTCATTCTGATGCCATTCGAATCAGAAAAAAAGATGTCTTCCATATCAGATAAAAATTCTGAATATGATGGTGACATTTCAAATCAGTGGGGAAGTGATGAATCCAATGAATGTTGTTGGAACAACTAGGTAGTCATCTGGAAGAAAAATAAATTTGGAACCATACGTCACACCTTGTACCAGAATAAATTCCAGATGGAGCAAGAAATTAAATCTGAACAATAAAATAGTGAAAGTGCTAGATGTTAGAGCAGGGCAATCCAGAACTTTTTTGTCAATTAGTAATTGTATCATTTAGTTTTTACAGTTCCTCAAATCCTTCAGCGAGGCAACAAATTCTCCATAAAATTAAAAAATTTTGTGTCATTTTTTATGATATTCTAAGAAAAACAACAACAGGCACTGGGATTACAGTTAAGATCTGAATTTTAAACCATTACACCTTATTGCCCCTCTGTGGACAACCACCTTATAATCAAATAGATGCATATGATTCCTCAAACTGATGCCTATAGATATATAATCTTAGAGTTTAAAGAGCTCAAATTTGAGAAATCCTCTAGTAGAGAACTAAAGAATGAAGGGTCATCCTGAAAAAAAGAATTTCACTGGGTACATCTCCCCTTAAACGTATTTAATTCATTCAAAAGATTGTCAGATGCTGTACTAGGTATTAGGTGCTAGGAATTCAACAAATAAGATTCAAACCCTAGTTGGGGCCACAGAGGAGTACACAGGCAAATACAGCAGTATATACACACATATATCAGTCATTTGGGGCTTTCTCATTTATTTAGGTTTATTTCCAAGTTTGAAAAACTCCAAAGTTGGCACATAGCTACCTAAACAGGCATGTGCATGACAGTTTATATAAGCACCGTTTATGAAACATGTGGCCCAGCTCTCTGCTGGAAACGGAGATAGAGACAGATCTGTTCTTAAGAAGCCACGAGTCTCATAGGGAAGATAGATACAGAAACAGATAATCACATGCAGGGCAAAATAAGACCGGAATTGAACCCGGGACCCTTCAGGCTGCAGGCTGATGCTCTATCCACTGAACCAAACCAGCTAGGGCTGAGACTGGGTCTTTATTCATCTCTGTTTCCACAGGGACAAATGCAGGCATGGCAGCGAATAGACACCTACTGAATGTTTGCTCA